GATAATTTTTTTTTTCTGAGGAATCACCTTAATTAAGAGCCGTCGTGCAATTTGTTGGGAATTATGTTGTTCAGCAATAATCTTGTACTCAGACTTTCCACGGCCAAGAGGTACATTAGTTCAGCGGATAACTTCGCGCCTTTTATGACATGCGTAATCAAGTGTCATGAATTGAGTTTACTTTCCGCTGCGTATAGGGGAAATTTCCTCAAGTGGACAGATCTCGATATCTCTGAGATTAACGACCGTAAAATGAAGACTGAGAGAGGCCTCAGCATCAATAATCCGAATGAATCGTGGCTTGAAAGCAAAGGTACATGGTTCACATACGTTTTGCTAATCACGATTGGCCATTTGGTTATTCTCAGTGTACCCTTCCTCGATACGCCAACAGCATGGACTTTGACAAATACCTTCCACAATTTGGTGAGTTGAACGTTTTCATTCTTGTCTGTTTCCATACCATCTTGTGTTGAAAGTAATTATTTAGTGTTATTTGTGAGTTTGAAAGCAAAAGGTAATAATATCAAACCTTTCGGGTTTTTTTTTTAAGAGGTATCATATTTGATTTGACGAAAGATGACACGTAAAATTGGTTGTCGAGGAAATAAGGCAACAAAATACGAGTTCCTTTTATGCATCGAGCTTCAAGTGATGCGACCAATCGAATTCTCAATCACTGAGGTTCGGAGAACTCTTAAGCACACATGCTATCATATACTTGGCTTATACAATATAAGCTCGTTTTATACCTATTGAATCTTTAGGATTCTAATTTGAAATTAAACCACATTTTTTAACGATTGAGAGAAAATGATCATGGAGAAGTATCGATGTAGCTGTTGTTTTTATACATGTGGTAACATTGTAACTGTGTATAGGGCTTTGATGATGCTATCAAACAAAATTTCTCATCAATTAATTTGGTATATATTTCCATGTAGCTTTAGAATACACGTTACTCCAGATTTAAGGTAAATGTAGCCTTAACTTTAGTGTTAATTGTCAGACAGTGAAGATAGTTTGTTCTATATAGCTTCTTAGTTTGTGAATGGTAAGTTATGAACTATACTTCCTATACAAAAATTGGATTTGTTATTTTTCATGTAGTGGTTTCATTTAGACATAGCTATCAATAGGTAATAAGATTATTGTTAAGATGAGTGATTTTATTTTTCTAATAAGGCTAGCAAGAATCTCTTATCCCATTAATAAATTCATTTAAGCAGTTGGTAATGGTGTCTAGCTTTGAATAACATCCATGTTTACATTTAAATTGGCTTTTTATTGAGTAACATCTGACATATTGATCAAGAAAAAATATGTTGGAGCAAAAAATGTGGATGTCTTGTGGGATTAAATGCCTGCTTTGTTTATGAATTTTTAACTTTGTTGTTACAAAAATTTTTATGATTTTTAAAATCTGTTCCATTTGTACTCATAGATTTTTATGTAATCTTTCTTATATAGTGTATAAAATCATAGTATGTAAATCATGGAGTATAAAATGAAACCTTGCACTCTAAAAATGGCACAATTATAATCCCTACTGTTAATGAGGATAGTGAGATTTGTTTCTGATGGGTGTAGAAATCCAAAAGAGTAACTAACATTCCATAAATAATTCTGCAATGTGTTTAAGAATCAGCTTCAGATGCTGCCATTTTTGAAAACCTCGTGAACCTGGCCTCACATGCCTGAGGTCCCAAACTTTAATTTAAATGATGGGGACCAAAACCTGCTTCTCTGGCTATGAATATATTATGATAAACCTTGGCTCAAATTACTGTCATATTTTGATTGAATATGAAATTCTTAGAGCTAACATTAGAAGAAATATATAGCAGACAGTAAGGAGAACTGATATTTAGATCTGGTTAGAGTAAGAGTTAGTCCTCAAACTCCCAGAAGTGATTAACTTGCAACTTCTCCCTATCATGTTCATATATTACTCAGCAAATTGATATTGAGAGTTATTAAACTTATCAGGTAGATGGTGTTTTCCTGATCTAATGGCAAATTCTCATTCTCAGCTGTAATTTACAAGAAAATGTGTAGCCTCTAGAGGGGAGAATTAACAGTCAAATCATGGTAGTTAAAGAGTTGAACCTAAATAGGATGAAATTGAAACTGAGATTTTATCAAGCTATAAGCTCTACACAAGGTTCACATGTAAATTCTGGTAAACGTAGCTCTCTAATTCAGAACTAAACATTACAACTGTAATAATAGTAAATGATTTTTAGTTAATTGACAATATTGTAAAATTAAAAAGTATGATATAATTTCATTATTACCTTGCCTGAATGAAACACCATTGTTGTTGCAACAGTTGTACATGGTGAAACATGTGCCTTCTCAAGAAAAAGTATATGCCTGAATGAAAAGTTTTTTTAATGATCACTAAGAAGTGCTCTTCCAAAAACCCATGCACTATAACAGTACTACGATTAACAAAATAGCACTATAGTTTTCATTGCTTAAAGAGTTAATTTCCCTTTTAAATCAACATTAAAATGTCTTACAATAGCTCTTATTTAAAATATTATTGCATATAAATTGTTTGAACTGGTGGCCTGCACAGCCTCATTTGAGACTGTTCCAAGCAAGAGCACTTCTATATCGAAAACTCTTCTTAAGGGCTTGGGTGTCGGGTCTTGGAATGAACAGATTTAGCTGAAAGCCAAGTAGACTGTATCTATGAATAGTATTTTTGTAAGGGTGTGCATGAAGCCCAATTAGGCAGATGTCAATGTAGAGTGACAACTGACTAAAACAGAATCTGGAGGTTGATCTATATAAAAAGACAAAAGTGAGACTGACAGAAGATCTGTGAACTCCTTTGTCTAACATCTGGCATGGTACTGGTAAATACTATGCAACCTCTTACTCTGCAGAGCCATGAAGTATAAACACAAAGTTACTTTAGCTTAGCATGAGATATATCAGTGTGGAATTCCCTGTTCTTGTTGCAGAGTATGTTCATCTTCTTACATTACCTGAAAGGAACTCCATTTCAAACGGCTGATCAAGGAAAAGCACGCAGACTGACCCACTGGGAGCAACTTAACAATGGTGAACAATTTACAGAAACAAGAAAGTTCTTTACTCTGGTGCCAATCTTCTTGTAAGTCCCCTCAAGGTTGTTAACTTTAGGAGAAGTCTCAAAGTGTTGAAGAAGGACTTTTAGTTTCATTTTAATGGGGAAGGGGGAAGGGGAATGGAATGTGGGAATATTCTCCATGCTGTTCTCTAATAACAATCTAATTATTGCATTTTTTCTTAAATTTGGTTTTAGATTTATGGTGACAAGCTTCTACACAAAGTATGATGGAATTCATTTTGTCTTCAACTCACTATCGCTTCTTCTCCTTTCTCTGGTTCCCAAGTTTCCTCAGATGTACAAAGTGAGGCTGTTTGGCTTGAACAAGTACTGATAACATGGGGAACATCTTGGTAATGAGGAATTCACTGGGTGATAAAGGAAACTGTTTACAAGGGAAAAAAAAAACTGAACAATATCATCATTTGGTAATTGGTTTACCAGGGAAATTATTTACAAAACAGTATTCTTTATAGACAGGCAATGTATCTATATTCTCCAAATGGTGATTACTTATTTAAGTGCTGCATATTTCTTGCAGCTAAAATTATTTGAATCAAGATCAAAGTAAATTTAAGATATTCAGTAGCTGAGAAATGTGCTCCTTTTCTTCAATAGATTTCTTAGACCATAAAGGCAGCAGTTATCAGTGAAGTAATATTAAGCAGATAACTAACTAACTAAATTTATGACAGAAAAATCATCATCATTGTAGGTGTGTCTTGGAAAGCCAATGTAAAATTGTAAAGAAATATTATTTTAGGATATATCAACAACAAAAAAAAGACAATAGAACCAAAAAAATCCATTAAAATGTTGACAGTTGCCCATTTGTTGTTTGGTTGTTAGCATGTTCTTTGCTGTAGCAGAATTTACCTGTGCTTTATGTGTAGAAAGGTACGTGGAGCTTAATTTAGATCACATTATTTAAAGAGTAAGCTTAAAACCATGATTCAGTTAATCGAATTATTGTTTTAGGGACAAAACAGAAAGGTACATGTACACATATGCATGTAAGGTTAGCTAGTTACCAGGTTGACTCTGTTTCCTGCTTTTCAGGCTGCAAGTCAGCTCTACAGTTTGAGTTTTTTTTACTCAAATTAACTGCTGTGATAACTTTTCCTTTTGTTTCATGCTGGTTTTGTAAGACTCCGTTGAAAAGCAATTGATTCTAACTTGAAGTTGCTAATTTTGGACTATAACAGTGGTGTGAGATTCTCAGATTTGTCTGCTGGTTTAATGTGGAATAAGGCAGAACAGCTCCTTAAAGTTGTAGTGAATGCTGGCATTTACTAACGGTGAGATGCAGCTGGTCTGTGTAAAAGCTGTTGAGAATGAAGGTCCATTTCTGCTAGTTGGATCAAATTTGAGCTAGTAACCAGATGGAAAAATGACTTTTATTGTTACAGTTGTAAGAACACAGGGAGAAGAAACATAACCCAACATATTACGTGAGAATGCTGGTGCATGATTCTATGAAGCATGTGACCATGGTATGAATACTTATTTTGTTGTGATATAACTTAAAAAACAGCCATTGCTGAGAGCAATAGGGAACTAATTTCAGATGAGTTCTCAATTTAACCATCTCACACCATAGACTGCAGAGCTAACTCTCTTAGCTAATAATTAAAGAGTTTTCATTGAGGTGAAATTATCCTTAGTTAACGAAAATACAACACCTGGACTTGTCTGTTGTAAGGCAAGGACTAACAAGATTTGGTAGATTAAAACTTGTTAGATTGTAATAAAGACAAGGGAAAGAAGGGTTCTTCTTTTTTCCACTTGCTATGGACAAGACAGCTCATTAAGTAAATCAAGTGACTTGATTCTAATGGTTTAATTAGGTGGCAATAACTTGTTAACTCGTTAATTGCATGATTTTTTAAAAGAGAAACGTTATTATATTTATTATATACTCTGTGTCAACATTATTGTATTAAAAGTAGTGGTCAACATGACACAATGTCTAGGTTGTGACTCGCTCAGTGTTTTTAAACTAGCATTTATTTCTTTTGCATAACTGCAAGTTTAGTTGGTGACTCCTGGTTAGACACAAGGAAAAAGCTGTCAAAGACATGAGCCTGAAATGGGTTACCTTGCACCAGGCAGGGTTCTCCCCCAAGACTAGACTATAAGCAATCCCTCCTTTCTCAACCAAGTCCATAATGCCCCATACTCCCAGAGTTCTGCACAGCATACACATCAATTTTTTTCGCCAACCCTCTTTGACTGGCACAACTGTAGTCTACCTTAGTAAATTTTGAGGAAACTTTTTACGGTGGCACGAGCGGTATTGATATATTCTTGTTTCCAAGGCTATAATAAGAGGGTTATAAATTGTACTGGTGGCTTGGCATAATGGACTATCTATACTTTTCAAGGAGAGTATTGGGAATTTTAAACCATGACTGGCCAATATCATTCAATACATAATTAACACTGTCCACTTGTCATGGTATTGTGTTGACATACATTATTTGAAGACAACTTATGGATCTATTAGTTGAAGGAAAAAACCAAAACAACATTGTAGAAAGACAAATTCACATACTTTAGGGAAAGAAAATTTCCTATCAGTCTCAGTCCTGTAGAATATTGCCTGATTTAGTATCAGGTAATTACCGAAAAGTAAATGATCAATGATCAATCCTTGAGGGAAAATTTTGTGGTTGGTTTCTGAGACACTGGTACTTCTGATCAGTAAATCAAAATGTTGTTAAGTACATACAGCATGCAACAATACCACAGCTCACTTTTCAAATATTATATTTTTGGAGAACTTGAAATTCTCTGTTTGAACCACTTGTCTCTTAGTTTAAATTCAGCAAGTAAACCCATTCACTCCCAAGATCTAACTAGAAATTCTACTTACTGTCTGCCATACAAATCTCATGATGTTAGTTTGGAGAATTTGGTATTGGATCAACTAATAATCCCCTGGTTATTTTCCTTATTCTCATCACTTGTCTGCTTTATCTTGTATTGATATACTGTAAGGAGAAATTCTGTCTTGGTCACTCTTGGGAGTTAAAAGGGTTATGGTGTGACACCTCATTAATAAATACTTTTAATTAATAATTTTGATGAATTTTGATTGTCAACCTACCATAAAATTTCCCACTTCCTACATGTACATGCTTATCACATAATAGTTTTCACTGGCTAGTAAAATATTTACAAGAACTGAGATGATGCTGTTAAATGTCACAGGAAACATGGTTGCACTTCAAAAGACACTAACACAGTATTTACTAAACAAGATCTCGTTCCTGTCTTTTGACTGGTCTTTTACAACTGGGTTCTGTACAATCTCCTGGATTCATTTGAATACAGATATTTACACAGCAAAGGCAAAGTCAACAGTGTAGCCACTAAGTGGCTGAAAGAAAATGAAACTCATTGACTAGGAACAACTTCCCAGAGCCCTTGTAAAGTGAAGCCATCCTTTAATTTCTCCACAGCAAGGCCCAGCTGCTCAGAGTATAATGGTTCACGATCACTTGACTGCAAAGAAAAAAGAAAGAAAAATGACCAGTTATGTTATTCTTCATGATTCATTTCACTTGCACCAGCCTCAAATCTCCAATCTTCCTCTGAGTCAATGAAACGGTCATTTTAAACTGCAATACCTTTAGTGTGAGATGAGAGCCTTGAAAAACACTTTTAAACAGTATTTCAAAACTACCGCGTGCATAGAACTACTTATTGTGACTAGTTTACATTCATGTGTGGAAATATTTGCAATTGAGAATTCCTGTATTAGTCTAAGAGTAATTCAGTTTATATGTTTTATGGCATTTTGATGGCAAACATAATAAAATACAACATAAAAACCTACCTTATCACCATCAGCAAAGTATGCCTGAAAAAGGAAAATAAAAACAGTTACATAGTCAAAAAACAATAAGACTGAATAATTCTTAAAGGAGAACAAGTGATGTGACAGAGAATATTATAATGTAAAATTAATTTGGAGTTTGGGCCCCACTTGACAAAGTAGCAGACATAATTATACAACCATGCCAGACTCTTGAATCAACTGTTTATTATATGCATTATTTTCCATTTCTCCCCAGACAAATATGGCTCATTTCAAATTTCCTTACTCTCATAAATCCATCATCTTCCTTAGACTGGTGAACATCATGTTCACCAGTCTAATAATTCCAGAACCCAAATTTTGTCCCCATGATCACACTTCATAATCAATGATTACAGTTAGTATACAATTAATTTTGATTTTCAGAGATAAGTTGACGAAACAGTCATTGCACCAAAAGTAAAAAAAATTCATGATTTGAAACGGATTGATACTCTGTGCCTTTGAGATACTGGTTGGCCAATCCACCAGTGACATATAATAACTGGCTATAGCTGCAGGAACACTACCCCAAGCTATTATACATATGGTCAAAACTCTTTGCTATCTGGAGAACAACAAAAGTGGTTGTTTAAATGGTTGGGTGTAAGTAGTCTATGCCTGCAGCCATACTGACAGTAATTAAACATGGCAGGCCGGAGTAGCAGTAGTCAGAATGAATTGTTATAGACACTGATCGCTGCTTCAAACAGGTGTGGTCTTCAAAGAAGGTCAGGCTGAATTGTAAAATGGCACCGAGAGTATGGTGATCAAGTCACTGTACTTACTGCAAAGGCATCAGTGCCTTCTCCCTCGCTTACGATCTCTATATCATCCTGGACTGGGTCAATTGTAACCTCGTCTACTGTTTGTGGCTGAAACACAAAAACACAACAAAAGACATTTAACAAAAAAATGTGGGAACAATTAAACCATAAAGGGTTAGTGCTGACTAGAATAAATATTTTGCTGCTAAATTGAATTCACTCTTCCTCAGAAAATCAAAATTCTGCCTCAAGTGACAATGAGTGGACAAAAACAAAAGAAATAATGGAATAATGGAAAACATAAAATGATGAAAACCTTTTCCTCTGTTTCAAATTCCACTCCAAATATAGGACTGGCACTGTAAACCTAAAAGATAAAATGAAACAAAAGACAGGATACATCAGAATGTTAGAAAACGAACAACAATGACAACAAAAACCTTTAATCAGATTCTCAAGATTTCATAATATTACAATTACAACATAGTTACATGTTTGTAAGGTTGTGCTGTGTGGTCAATATTACAATATTATACTTTAAAAACACCATGGAGATCATGGGAGTTTAATTAGGTAGTACACAAAAAAACTAAGCCATCTCTGTGACTAACTACCTTTTGTAAACTTTGGATTTCTTTAGCTGCTTCTTGTAATTTCTCTCCTGGGTCAACTCGGAACCCAAGAACATATCCTCCACTCTAAACAAACAAATACAAAAAAAAAAAAAAAACTAAGGTGATTATTCATAACCATTTGAAAGGATTTAAGTCATGCCTTGCTGATGGTTGAAAGGATAGCTGTCTGAACTAGTACTATGCATTCAGAGGTCTGAGCTTTAGCTCAGGTCAAGTGAATGTGTTGTGTTCTTGAACAAGACACTGACTTACCATTCACTGAAAGTTAACTGTCTTGTTCAAGAACACAAGACTGACAGTGCTTCTCTCCATACAACAGTTGGAAAATACATGTGTGCTGGCAAGTTAGAGATGAAACCCGAGGTAACACTGTGGGGAGGGGTGGAAGGGTATGGATGACTTCTGACAGACTAGCATATCAGGATATGCTAGTCTCTTGAAGAAGTAGACTGAAATAATCCTGGATGCAAAAAAAAAAAAAAAACCCTGAAGGATAAACCCCAGTACTTAGGACCATTTGGGTAAGACTAAAACTTTCCTTTGAACCCAAATACAGTAGAACCCCACCAACTGAAACTCAGTTAACTTGAAACACACCCCCCCCCCCCCCCCATTCTGATAACTTGAACAAAGACTGATTTTCTTTCACCCCATTTTCTTATTCATTTATTATTAGCTAACTTAATCTCCCACTAACTTGAATCATGTTCTTGTTTACTTAGGAGTGCACATTAATGGGGTTCTACTGTACATTTATGACCTTTTCCTCAATCATTACATTTAAATTTTTTAAGTCCTTTTTCACAAATTTATGTCAACCACCCATACTACTCCTTGGTTAATAGCACCTAAGTTAACCTATCTTTGGGATTTTCTTTGAGATATTGAGTGAACTTTCTTTTAATCATTAATTAACTTTCAAGCCAAATATTTATAGGTGGGTTATCCACAAATTTCCATCACATCAGCACAAAACTTTTAGTGAGAGGTTAAAGCTTGATGTTTAAGAGTAAGGTAATGTAAACAAGAATAACCATAAATTCACCATTTGCATATATGCTGTTTGAAGTATTACCTGCTGTGAAGTTTCCAAAACTAAGGCAAGTCCAAACTTTGAATCACTGATTTTAACTGATTTCTGTTGAAAACAGTGACAACAGAGTAAGTTCTCTCTGATTCAATAGTTAACATTTTATACAAAGTTGAACTCTCCTTGATGCAAAACAAATCTCCTCATCTCCTAAGCAGTCCACTGAAACCTTCAAAATGAAAAGAAAAATTGGGCCCCTTTCTAATTTGACATATAATTTCATCTCCAATGAATTGTTTGAGCATTCTTTTTAACCCTGACACCCAAATCTCCTCCTGGTTAGCTCAATGGATAGAGCGCTGGACTTTTGTGCAGGAGGTTGAGGGTTCGAGCCCTGGCCAGACCAACACTCAAGGTCTTAAAATAATTGAGAAGAATATATAATATTATGCTACCTTTCTATAACATCAAGAAATGGTTAGATATCAGATAGGGACGAATAAATAGAGGTCCCGTCTCCTGCAGGGTTGGGGTAGGAGACATTAATTTCCAACGCACGAAATTACTGTGTGATGGAT